ATAAATTAAATAAATAAATAAATGAATAAACAAATAAATAAAAATACAAGAATAGGGTAAGTGGGGATTAGAGATTGAAATTATTTACATTTTTTCTTACACCAGGCTAGTTTAGTTCTTATTCATGCCTCAGTAATAATAACCTGTCGTTACTAAAAATATTAGGGTAATAAAAAGACCCAAAGCAGAATAAACAAAAACTTGTACTAGATTCCAGGGAGGGGGTGGGGTGTTTTCAGGCATACTTAATTTGTAGGGAAACTAGATCATTTATCTTAATACAGCAGGGATGGCTGATAAAGAATTGTTTTAATCTTGTATTGAAGATATATTGAGTAGTGGAGACAATTAGAAAGTGGTATTCACAGTGGGTGGGGTGCTGAGGGTTTTGAGTAGGCTAGGGGTCCACGGTGGGTGGTTAAATTGAAGCTGCCTACCCCCACCAGGTGGCGGTGGGCACCTGCGGTGCCCATGTGGCGAAATCGTCACCTTCAATTGAACCATTGAACTATTTATATTCTTGACTTGTTGTGGTTGATGTTGATATATGTGATGGTTGATGTTGATATATGTGATGTTGACTTTGAAAATTATATCTCATATTGAGTAAATCTAAAGCAAAATTATGTAATATAATTGATATAATTAATTATAATTAATATAATTAAAGATAATTTGTGTTGAAATGTGTCCGTAGCACGATTGAGGTCAACCCAGCGTGCTACTTTTCCCGTCAGGGAGGGCACAACTTAATTGTTGATGTTGGGGGATTGCCAGTTTGCCGGCTGCCCCACTGTTGTGTAGACCACTGTGGACAATACCTGCCAACTCAAATAAAACATATAAAATAAATAAGGCATTTGTTTTAAATATATTAAGGTCTTTGATAATACCGCATATTTGAGCTCGTCTCACAATATGCGTCATTATCAAAGCTCTACTCTGTTATTAATGTCATCATTCGCCTCTTATTTTGCGAGAAACTGATACTGAGTGAAGTCGGAATTTTGTTATCCACCCATACAGTGTCGGTACTTGGTCACTATGTTTCCGGGTTATCTCCCCTTTTCTATGCATCAATGAAAGTGATAGGTGGGTGATGAAAGCATCTGATTTAATTTTTGTATTTTGAAATACCCTCCCACCACAACCCTTGAGCTAGGTGTTTAAGTATACCCTTTCTCCTTTCGTACATCTACATAGTTTAACATGATTTGGCTATACCTATATTTATTGACAGTTATGGAAATGTTATTGAGATTCTTTTCTGCTTTGGGTTTTTTGTTTTTGTCTTTTCAGAAATTAGCGGGGCCGTTGAAGGAGACCAACGATGTTGATCAGGATTGCCTGTTATTTCCGTTTAGGACCTTTTGAATGATTTTGGGCCAAATACAGTACCCTTCCGAGGAGTTCGGGGAAAAACCATACTTCACAGTGGTCAGATTGGCGAAATCGTCACCTTCAATTTAACCATTGAACTATTTATATTCTTGACTTGTTGTGGTTGATGTTGATATATGTGATGGTTGATGTTGATATATGTGATGTTGACTTTGAAAATTATATCTCATATTGAGTAAATCTAAAGCAAAATTATGTAATATAATTGATATAATTAATTATAATTAATATAATTAAAGGCCGAGGTTTTCAACCGGTCGGTTTTCCTCAGGTAAGTTTGGTGTGGGGTGGAGCTTAATCGAAGCGGGTGAGAAGCCCCGAGGGAACGACGCTGGCTTGTGTATACCTACCTTTATACACAGGATGTTACCTGAATGTATTACATGTATACGTTTTCCTACGACATGGTAAAACAATGTCATTGTTTTTCTTGTGTAGGTCAATTGAAATGTTGACCGTAAAATTCTGAAATAAAGCATGCGAAATATTTTTGTTGCGAACAGAATCCTACTTAAATTCTTTCTATTAAAATTAATGTTTTTAAAAAATAATTCAACAATTTCAATTATATGTGTGTTATTAAACTAATATCAAATGTTATAACGAATATAGGGCCAAAATCTTTCGTTGTAAGCTAGCGACATGCGACAGAAAGAGAAGTAATTCAAATTGCAAAACGAAAGCAGAAATTGGGTCATAAATAAGTCTCTCAGTAAAAAAAAAACTTAGAAACGCTGTTTGGAGGCTACATTTTGTAGAAATACAATAAACTAAATAAATATTTTTGAAGATAATTCCTACGTGATTTTTCCAAGACACATGATCTGTATAAAATGGCCAGGGCTTCGGACCGGGGGTGGTTTCCCGACAGCTAGCTATTACCCGGTGAAAAGGGAATGGAATCACCTGCATCGTACTTTTTTTCCCCTTCGGGATTCATAATTTCAAATATTATATGCAAAGCAAGACGTTATAATCTGAATAATTTCTCTTCTAAAACTGGTTATTATACTGTAACTTCGTCACCTTGTCTCGAAGAAAAGCGACACGTAACACAATTGTCTTATATAAAATTTCACTTGAGCAATATTACAATGTTGTCATACTTGTTTTAAAAAAAATAATTTTATTTACTCCCATGATTCTTCAAACGCGGGTCGGTATATTTTTTTAAGGTAGAATAAATTTACGTCAGTTAAACTATGTTTTGACAAATTATAGTTATCGATTGTAATCGTGAAATGAATCCCCCCTTTTGAATTACAATTTTAATATATAAGCATAATTTTTCTTATCATTTTTTTTTAAAATTATTTAACAGAATTATTATATTTATGGCATATTCTTATGAATTAAATAGAAAAATGTTTTCCTTGCTTCTTTATCACGTTATTATTTGCGGTAAGCATCAAAAGCATGAATGTAAATTCGATGGTCGGTACGATCTCCAGACAAGGTACACAAGATATACACAATGGCAGAAAACTAAATGTCAATCAAATCCAAGTATCCAATCCCAGGATTAATTTCAGATGATTGACAGGGGTTCACAGACCAGGTAAATTAGTAGGAGGTGCTTATTTCCTCCCCCTTTAAAGATAATTTGTGTTGAAATGTGTCTGTAGCACGATTGAGGTCAACCCAGCGTGCTACTTTTCCCGTCAGGGAGGGCACAACTTAATTGTTGATGTTGGGGGATGTGCCAGTTTGCCGGCTGCCCCACTGTTGTGTAGACCACTGTGGACAATACCTGCCAACTCAAATAAAACATATAAAATAAATAAGGCATTTGTTTTAAATATATTAAGGTCTTTGATAAATATATATATATATATATACTTACATGTATTACTTAATAGATAATCGGGCTTTTGACCTGTCATTCTGTTTAAGACCGGTTACAGTGTTATCGTCCTTCATTTCTATATGGAGACTTTAAAAGTGGATATATATATATATATATATATATATATATATATATATATATATATATATATATATATATATATAATTGATAAATATTGGCGTTCTATAGATAAATAGTAAGTGTCTTAGAGTTTTGAAGTGTATACATCCTGCTAGAAGATTTGTTTAAGAAAAAAGGAAACGACTGTTAAAACACAATCAGCCTGATAGCAAAACGAAGGAAGTATAACTTAGTTGATGCTGATAAAGGATCGCGGAAATTTGAATTCAAGCTAAAAATATAATTTGATTCAAAATATAGTTAAAATATATAAACAAAACCAAACATACCAAATAAAACCAAATGCACCATATAAAACACAAACAAGGAAACCTTACACTGTTTTGTGAACATTTCAATCTCTTTTCCATGCAATTTATTGTAGAAACGATATACGAGACTTGTTAACTGAATATTAATTTCCTTCAGGTCACAAAATGATAATTTTGCTTAAAGCTCATAAATGTACCCCGATCATTGCCCCTACCCGATCATTTTTTCAGTACTTTAAATTTTAAATATAATATACATATTTTTTTTTTTAGGGAAATACAGATTGTTCGTATAATTTTTTAGCCAAGATTTTATCATTTCTTTAAGAAACATTCAGATTCGACGTTTTTAGCAATATATTATGTTAACTCTGTCTAACTGTCCTGTGTATAATGAAAACATCAATAAATTTCTAAGTTTGTGATTTTTATAATGATTATCAATGTGTAAGATAATTATGAAAAATCTACCTACCTACCCACCTTGTAAAATGTGGGTCAGAGTAACCCCCCCCCCAAAAAAAAAAAAATAATGATGGCCCAGCGAAAATAGCAAAATAAAACAAAATCATGTTTCTTGATTTAATTAAATATATGATTAACTTCACCATTTTGTTGCCTCAATAAAATCTCATGCTGGAATCCGCTAATATAGAAATATAGAAGAGAAAAAATAGAGCAAAAATGCGTAAAAACATAAAATACAAATAATTCTTTCTTTATCTCTCTCTGTATATATATATGATAAAAAATATATAGTAGAAATGCAACATCAAAATGCACCCTCACATTATTTATATATGCAATAAATAATATTGCCTAAACTCTCTATCTCTCAAACTAACACTTATATATAATCTCCATCTGATAGTCTGTCTAGGAGAATGAGTTTATTTACATTATAAAGCATCAGGATCTTCCTGAAGCATTTTCCCGAACAACACGAGAACACTATTCAGCACTTATGTACCAGCATAATTAAGGCACTAACACCATATTCACATAATTACGATGTCGTGTAAAATGCAGATATACACAAATTATACCTTAATTTACATGAAGACAAGAGGATGTCGGGAAAAAAAGGAAAGCCTGATTGGAAATCATTCTGCAAAAATGTATCACAAAGGGAACAGATTTTGAATTCATTAGTTGTAACTAATCATTGATTTTGCCTCCGTAAAAACACGATATTATAATTATTATAAATCAGATTTGTAAATGAGAAAATAATTTAAGCATGATTCTGTTCAACATTTCTAATCTGAAGGTTGTTATTTTCCTCAATTGTTACATACCATACAACAAGACTGAATTATGGTTCTTATGCACTTTCATAATATGCTTTAAGTCCAATCTAAGACTTTTTGTTTGTGAGGGGTATGTTTGTTTAATTCTATAAGATCTATATCCTGCTACTTATTCTTTTGGCACTATCCAACAGCCTCAGAGAACACCCTGGCTTGTTTTGTAAGGAATCTATTATCTGTCTTGGGTCTCCCATCACGTGGAATTCAAAGACGCCGTTTCCGAATTTGTTCCGACGTCCAACTACCATTAAGAAGTCATTTGTTGATTTTTTATAGCCAAATCTCTTAATATGATCATATTTCCAACTATGTACTGTTTTCATTGTGTCACAGTCTTCTAAATCCAGAGATTCGGGTCGCACATGAAGATTATACGTTCCAGATAAACCTAGCTGATCCGACGCCATCGTACAGTTCACCAGGACTTCAAATCGTTTACCTATAACATTGGCAAGACTTTATCTTCTTTTGTGTTAAAGACTTAATACATAAAAACAAGCAAATAAATTGTAACATCATCTAAGAAGTCATTTAGTTTTTGAAAAGATATGTATATTTCTTTTTTAAAAATGTCTAATAGACATTACTTTAACTTCTTTTTTAAATATGGAATAGACATTTTTTTTTTAAATTTAGTTACTTACTTGCGTCACAAGGTGCAGGGCTACTTGCGTCACAAGGTGCAGGGTTACTTGCGTCACAAGGTGCAGGGTTACTTGCGTCACAAGGTGCAGGGCATGACTCCGAAAAATCCATCTCGAAATGATCCATTTCCATCCCTGCCAAAGGATCGTTAGCTGCTTCTGGTTTATCAATCAGAGGGTTTGCAGACGACTCTTCCAACACATCTTTTTGGCTATATTTCCTTTTTTCTGTACTTGCTGATGAAGTGCTACTTTCGTCTGAGGACAATTCGGACTCGGCCGTGTCCGATTCATGATTTACTTTTTCCGATGTCTGTTTTTCCTTCTCTGCTTCCTTGCTGCAATTTGATGTCGATGATCTCTCTGAGATTCTATCTTCTGCCAACAATAATTCTTCTGTTTCTTCGGCTGTTTTATAATATCAAATAATTAATACGAAAGCTTAAGCCCTTTGGAAATTAAAAGAGTAATGTAAAAATACTTAAATGTTGCATATATTTTGCTAAAATGATAAAAGATGGTTAAATGGTTTAACCATTAAATTATTAAATCGGTGGCCTGACCATAGGAAACTATAGTGGATTGATACTCATGATTCATTCACCTGAAATTTGAAGTTATTCAAATATTCATATTCAAAACGGGTTTTCATGCAAGGCTTATTTGCAGATATAACAAATAACAATAGCTGCAGTTCATGTATTTTAGAGTTACGCCATTATACGATAAACAGATATTTATATTTCCTGCTTTCTCTTATTTCGCATCATCGAGATTTCATTAATGTGAAACAAAAATAATTTTACCGACAATGCCCCCTCTCTAACTTCCCACCACCCTCTGATATCCTACGGTCCCACGTGTTATTGATGTGTACTTACAAATCTCGGACATGATGCTGAAGAAATTTATCGTAACACTTTTCTTCCGTCGTCGCATCTGTGAGTACAAACCACAAAGCTTAGAGCAAGTCAAAACTTCCGGGATAAACCAACCATGTAATCAACATCCTTCCTCAAAGGGTCAACACATATATACAACAAAATGTTATTTACATTGCACTTACTCAAGACCACCACTACATTTTAAATAAAGAATATAGTATTTAAGTGTCACTAGTGTTTACCTTGATTACCGAAATTTGAACATAAGAATGAATGAAGTTTTATATAGGTTTTTAATCAATCAATAAGTAAATGTCGTTTAATGAACATTTTGTCATTTTTTTTGTTATGTTTGTAATTAAAACAAATTAAAGAATTACACTTTCAAAATATATTTCTTTTAGTTTTAATATGTCGCATATCAAGGTTATAAAACAAAAATAGGAAGCTGAAAATAACTCACTTGGTCTTTCTTGTGTCTTTATCTTAACCAGGATTCATCCATCGTTGGGTGATGTTTTAATCATGTTTACAGGAAATGGAGACGTCATGTTCAAGTTTAGTATCCGCCGTCTAATTAAACTACGGACCTTCTCTCCTTGCGACAATTAGATAATTAACCTGAAATGAATAATATATATTAATAATAATGCATTGGAAACAATTGATTCAATTTGTTCATATATTGACCCCTTGAAGTCCTTTAGTACATCCCAATCCATGCTTGAAAAATAGTGTCAATAGAAATACACCTAATATAATTCAGATTTTTAACTTACAATTTTAAGGTGCTTTATCCACAATCATTTCTTTTCAAATGCAATTAGTTTTCCAACAATAGCAATCTCTTTCTGAAAACATCTCCGATTCTCCCTTTTTCACTTCGTAAAAAAATGATAAAGTTTATCTTCTTCTCTGGAACGAAATTTTCCGTTCACAGAATTACAAATAAAAAAGAGAGAGAGAGTAGAAATCCCCTCCCCTGCCCCCCCCCCCCCCCGGAAACTTACTCTAGAGTAGGATTTCCCCCAGTGAAAAAGTGGCTCTAGAGTAAATTTCTCCCTTAGAAAACGAAATTTACAGTCAATTTTTCGAGGAGAGGGGGGCATTTGTCTTAAGATTACAACTTTCTTCAGAGTCAGTTTCCCTCCCCAGTATCAAACCCCAGCACTTTAGGGAATACATGTATATTATTTCTCATTACAATGAAAATAAAAACTACAGAAGAACTATATGCGGTATATGCACATATTTGCCCCCACAAAAGTCATGTTTTGAAAATTTCTTGAAATGTGCTGAATTGTATATATTGTGTGAGAAATCTAAATTAACAAAAAATATTATAGTTTCGAAGTAGATTATTGGCAACGTTTGTTTCTATGACGTCACAAACTATTCGGATTTTGTGTTATTTTTCAGAAAAAGGAAAAAATGGACAAAATTTGTTCAATTTTTACTATAAAATTTATAGAGCGCAGGCCTGCTCAAGAACAATATTTACAAATTTCATTGATATTATCATTCTACACATTATATCAAAATATTGAGTCGGAGCAGACCTGCGCTCGGTGACTTTTAATCAAATTATCGACGTAATATACACTTTTTCTGTATAAATCATTGAAATTTTGAATTTACGTCATCTTTCTAACGTCAATATCTAATATATGGCGTCATGGCTTATAAAAATATTCAGTGCTTTGAAGTCTGCAGATATTCCCCTGTTTTAGAACATAATTATATATTTCTCCGTCAAAGTTTGATTTTAGGGGCAAATATTGGTCATTACCGAATATAGTCCTTTGTAAAAAGAGAAAAAAATATTTATTTTTTTTTTAAATCAAAAGGAATAGACTTTCTTTTGAAAATTAAATTATACTGTATCATCAGCTACTGAAAAAGGAGAAAGAGATAGAAAGAGAGGGAGAGAATTTGTGGAAAAAACACAATTTGAATACAATATATTTAAAAGTCAATTTCTTAAAAGCTACGCTGTCATGTTTATTTCATGGAAGTTTATTTGTTCAAAAAGTTTTTAAAATCAGTTATTTAATGTAATTTTGTTAACTTTTTAATGTGAGCATCTCAAGAACTCAGCAAATAAAATTAATACATTATTTTTAAATCTTGCGTGAATTTTTAACTGATGGAAATGAAAATGAAATCAATCTAATGTAATAAATATTTTAACGCATGGCACCAATAATAAACATTTTAAGGGTTTCTGAAACCAAAAAAGACCCAAAACTTTTCTGAGGCTTTTGAGATAAAACGCAGAAAGTTACAACGAAACACGACAAAGACTATTATTTGAAACATAATGAAAAACTCAAAATATAATTTAGCACTTAATACATCAACATTATGGAGTGGAAAATTCCAGTTTTTTGTTATAGGGAAAATTGGCTTTAGAGTAGGATTTCCCCCCTAGGTAAAGTGCTCTAGAGCACGATATCTTCCTGGGGGAAATTCCACTCTAGTGCTGAATTTCCTTGGGGTTGGGGTTTCTACTCTAAAACATCGACAGCAAATACAGCTATAAAGTTACATATTTTTTCATATGTACAAAATTAAGAAAATACTGCAATAATAATACATGAATAAGTAAATAAATATAAAATTAAAATAAATAAATAAACAAATAAATAAATGTAATAAAATAAGTATAAATACGAGCATAACATGCAATTTTAAATATATTGTGAACTTGGTACAAAAGTTGCACAGAGCAAGATTTCAAAGCTAATGAATGATTCTGATAGATCGACACTTGTAAGATTGCGTTATTAACTTTTATCTTATTTTATATAAACTCATCTTATTGATCACCACTCTCTACGGACATTAAGATTAAGGAAAAGGAGGAAAATTACTAGAAAAAGAAAGCATAGCCCACTGATAAAATTTCAAGTTAATAAAATCCCAATGTCGGATGTTTTCACAGAACATATTTGAGTAAATATAGAGTATAGTTTCCTGAGGAGTGGTGAATGACCAGTTTACATTAGCTTTATCCCTACATGTATATTACTTTATAAAGGATAGTACGTATTTAAACTGAACTCATAATGATCCTTGTGGCTGTAATAGAAGTATTCACCCCCCTATTTTCAAACAAATCGATAAATATCCTTCAGCAATTTCAATTTTCAGGAAGTTTAAAGCTTATTTTGTGTTGATAGAGAAGTAAGCAATTATGGAGCAACAAACGTTTTTTGTCCTTTCAAGCTTATGACGTACATAATACGACACTGGACATATACTAATGTGATTGCGCATGTACGAGTCTCTGTTAGCAAGCAGGTAAGAAAATTCAACAGTTCTATTGTTATTTTACACCTTGTTAAAATGTTTATTTAAATGTATACATTTGGACAAGAACTAATTGTATGGCTAAAATATATAATATTTTATTATTTTATATTATAATATAAATTACTTGAATTAGATTTTTATATATATATATATATATATATATATATATATATATATATATATATATATATATATATATATATATATATATATATATATATATATACAGTTTTTTGAATATTTCATATGAGTAATGGATTAAAAATAAACTGTAAATTATCAGAAGACATAGAATAATGGTAAGTAGCACAATATCTTAAGCAATAGTTTTTGTTTTTTTTTTCAAAAAACAAAACAAAACAAAACCAAACCAAAAAAAAAAAAAAAAAAAAAAAAAAAAAAAAAAAAAAAAAAAAAAAAAAACACCTCTTGCACTGATGGCCAAAAACTTGCAATGGAAATTGTACACTGTTTCGCTGGATTTTGTTGGATTAATAAAATTATCAAGCAAAGGTACGTCATACAAACAGATAAACACTGTCCCAGCATAAAGAAAATACATGGATACTATTTCTTGCAACTTTCCATTAAAAACATGTGAACTTTCAGTGCAAGCTTTACATGTATATAGAAAGTATAGCGAAAGCAACCGATCATCCTAAAAGTTATCAAAAAGAGTGGTAATTACATAAAAGTTAGCACACTGAAATTAGTGTATACTTATTATACTTATTAGTGTTATACTTGTTTAAATAAATCGAAAGCTTAAAAATCTCTGAAATTATATAGCATGGCTTATAGAAAAAAATATCTTAAAATATGAATTCTGCATAAAGAATCGATGCTAAAAATATAAATCAAGTATACCAGCAATATATAATTCATATGTACTAAGTATATTATGGATAAAAAGTCAATAAAAATATAAAATGCTTTCAACCACGTTTAATAATCTTTATTTTAAAAAAAATATATGCATGCTTAAACGTAAGTTTATGCACAAAGTTTATTCTAGAGATTTATCATTTAAATCCCAATATGTGTCTGCAGCATCAAGGATAAAGACTTGATATTCAGTCGGCCTTGGAAACTTAACCTTACAGTGACGTTGAAATCCCAGATACAGATTACAGAATCAATATGTGCAATACAACCAACAGTTCTTGCTCCTACCTCTCACTGGCAATACTAACCAGTAATACGGGGTATGTAACTGGCATCAAAAGATATCTCTTATCACAGAAAAATTTTCTTGATGAATATAACTGAATCTTTGCCCTAAATAAACCAGTATCATCTTTGTGAATTGAAATGCTCCATCTGGAGACAAGTTTTCTTGATTGTAAGACTTTGCTTTGTTAATTTAGTATACTCCGAGGGTTAACGTTCTTCCGTCAATTTCAGTCATACGTGGAAAGTTGTGCACACAGTGCTGGGACATTTCACGCCACACTACTCTTCTACTGGCTAACTTTTACCAAAGGAGGCCGAAAAGCATTGACAGTGGCATATGCTATACTTACAAAATCCCTTATAAATTTGATTTGGCAATTTGGAAATGCCTAGTCGGAAGCTTTCAGTTTTTTTTCTGTTTTTCTATTTGCCGACTCCACGACCCATCTTCTTTTTGTTATTCATCGGGAATGATTTGCCTCCTCTGTCGTATGTTGTATGGAACCGTGGGAGAGATAATCAAGCATTTCACTGTTGATTCCGAAAGAATCGAGAAATCCAGAGGATCCCAAAAGCCCCTGTCAACAATTAAAAGTTCATCTTTCTGTGACCAAGTATGGATCTTATCCACATTTTGTTTCATAATACTCT